ATCCTAAGTGTAAGTAGCAGTTCAAGCAGCTCTTCTAGTTCGTCATATTCAGACAAACAGTCGCGCCGCCACCGTAAGAAAGGCAAGCGTGCTCGTCGCACTGCACGCAAAATGGACAAATTGGTGAAAGAATTGGGTGAGCTCAAAGAAATGTTTATTATTAGTAAGAATGTTGAAAATGATACATTTTGTCATGACAACGTGTCGCTTTCATCTGAGGTTAGTGGCCAGCTATATACTGATGTCGTTGACGATTGCTTTTCTTGTGAAAATAAAGATTTTACTTTTGATATTGATACTAAGTTAAAGGAATCAGTTGTCCCAAAAACACCCGATGATTTTTTAAAAAAGTTGCTAGAGGTTCAGCGCCTAGGCACCTCCTCCTGGTCCGATGTGAGATATGCTGAAACACAAAAGTTGTATAATCATATTCCAGGCTATACTGATTTAAAAACTAATGAGGAAGTCAAAATGTATGACACTTCTCGTAACTTAGCGTATGCTGACAAATCATACGCGGCTATAACTTTTTGCATTTTAAAGCAAAGAGAATCCCTTCAAGAGGGATTTCGTGACCTTCTTTCTTGGGCCAAAAATACGAAAGAATTAAATGTTGAAAATTTAAATCTACAGTTAGAGCAAATATTTCAAAAAGGTCCTTTCCATAAAATATCTTCCGATTTATTACAATTAGTTTGTGGCCATAGAGCTGAATCTATTGAAATGCGGCGGGAGAGTATTATAAGCCAAGTCCGTGATCCTCTGATAAAAGCTTCTCTGAATAGAATTCCTCCATCTGCTACATTCATATTTGATGCTGAGCCTTTTACATCTACATTAGAAAAAGTTGGTGGAATGCGAAAAGCATTCTGGCCTTTAAAACGTGATAAAATTTCACAATATAAAAATCAACCTAATCTATCTAACCGCCATCCCTCGCGGGGACAAGGCATAAAAAGACAAGCGGTTCCATCGCGTGGAAACCAATATTACTCTTACGAACCAAGTTTGCATGCACATGCATGTAATAATCCACCCTCGCGGGGTGGATATCAGTGTCAACATACTGTCTACCCGCCTGTACGATATACTTCTATGTTCAATACACTAACACGGGCAAGGGTACATTTCACGACCGTGGCTCGCAGCACAACCGTGGAAATAACCGAGGACGTACAAATACGTCCAGAAATTCCCATAAAGGAAATCAAAAAATACAGAAACAATGACTCAAAGCCATTTCGAGCAGGTCAGTTAAAACTCTTCCACACACAATGGAAAGATATGGGTGCACCAGAAATTGTTTTGCAATTAATTCAAGGCTATCGCATACCTTTCTTTAAAAAACCTCCTCTATTATATCCAAATCTAAAACAATGCCCCTTGCAAACTCCTGTCTCAAAAGAAATGTCCATAATAATAAACAAAATGAAATCGCAAGGAATTCTAAAAGTCGCCCATGTCTCTCCCAGCTTTGTTTCGCCTCTATTTCTGGTACCAAAATCAGACGGAACAGCTCGTCCTATATTCAATCTAAGAGCACTAAACAAATATGTAACGGTCAAACCGTTTCATCTCATAAACATGCACCGCATTCCGAACTTCCTGCAACCTCGGGACTGGCTATGCAAAGTAGATTTGTCGCAGGCCTATTTTCACCTCAGTATAAAAAAGTCACAAAGACGCTTCCTACGACTGATATACAACCAACAATTATTAGAGATGACTTGTCTTCCGTTTGGCCTGAGTACAGCCCCAAAAACCTTCTCCATACTGTCCAATTGGATTGCTCAAATGTTGCGGCAAAAATGGAACGTAAGAATCATAGTGTACCTAGACGACTTCCTTATTGCACATCAGAATCAAAATACCTTGCGCAACCATGTAAAACTTACGATACAAACGCTACAGAATTTGGGTTGGCAAATAAATTTCGAAAAATCGGTACTTTACCCTCAAAAGAATATAGTTTATTTAGGTATAGACTGGAAACCTTGGGAGAATCTAAAATCTCTACCAAAGGAGAAGGTTATCGCCTTAGCAAAAAAGACGAATTATATACTCGAACAACAAAAAGTAACTGTCAAAGAGTTACAACAAATAGTAGGGATTCTAAACTTTGCCAGTTTTGTTGTGCCACGAGGACGACTCAATCATCGACAATTATTAACAATGATGAATTCACTACCACAAACGTCATCTCGAGCTTACCCACTAACGAAGGAAGCCAACAACGAATTAAAATGGTGGGTACAGAATTGCCATTTATCCACACCACTACATCACCCTCCTGCGGTGAATTTCTTAGCAACAGATGCTTCGGATCGGGCGTGGGGGGCACAAATAAACAATCTAGCTCTCTCGGGGACCTGGTCACCAGAGGAACAGAATCTTCACTGCAATCAAAAAGAGATGTTGGCCATACTTCATGCTCTCCAAAGTTATGCTCCTCAGATAAGTCGCAGCTCAATCCTAATTCAATGCGACAGCAAAACGGCAGTCGCTTATCTACAGAAAGAAGGAGGTACAAAATCAATAGCATTATTGGAAATAACTTCACAAATTCTAAATTTACTCGATCATTATCAAATACATTTCAACATACATTACCTTCCAGGCAAATTCAACAATTATGCCGATCATTTAAGTCGCCATCGCCGACCCCCGGAGTGGCATTTATTACCTGCATGTGTGGAAGTAATCTTTGCAAAGTGGGGCAACCCAGTGATAGATCTTTTTGCATCAAAAACGGCACATGTAACAAGCAATTATGTGTCTCGAGATTTAACCGATCATCAAGCCTTATTTCACGATGCATTCAGCGTCCCATGGAATTATCCAATAGCATGGGTATTTCCACCCCCATATTTGGTTCCCAAAGTATTAACTCACTTAAATCAGTCGACGGGGACATTTTTGTTAGTAGTTCCTCGGTGGGAAAAAGTATTTTGGCGAGCGGATCTGAAAACCCGCGCGCTATCAGCACCGTTTACTCTGAGGAACCTCAACCAACATCTAGTCGATACGTCGACAGGCCTCCCACCTCCGAAAGTAGACGAGATTGTACTGGAGGTGTGGAAATGTGGGGGTGGTCTTCAGCGATAGAATCATGGAACTCTGAACAACGCTCATTACTCAAAAACTCATGGCGTAAGTCTACTTTGAAAACTTACCAAACAGCATGGGCACGCTGGATTTCTTGGTGTAGAAATAAAAGTATCAATCCAACAAATCCAACTGGATCACAGTTAGCTCAATTTTTATGTGATCTATATTTAGTAGATAAATTATCTTATAATACGATTCTTCTACACAAATCAGTTGTTGCCACTTTATGTAATACCGATATGTTTTGTCAACTAAGTTCACATGTCCTAGTAAAACATATTTTAAAAGCAATTTCCCTAAAAAATCCAAAAACTTGTAAACCACCCATTTGGAATGTCAGTAAGTTGTGTCAATTCCTAAACAATTGCATAATAGATATGAATAATATATTTCAAGTATCACGACATACTGCCATTTTGTTACTACTATGCTCAGGCAGACGTATTCATGATTTAACGTTACTCAGGATAGATCCACCTTACTGTGTAAAATCTGATGATAATATAATTTTTTGGCCCCAATTTGGCTCAAAAACTGACAGCAGTACTTATAGACAATCTGGTTGGAAATTACTTTTAAATCCCGATAACCGTAATCTAAATCCGCTATTTTGGATAGAGAGAACTATATCTTTGTTAAAAGAAAGACGTGATGCTACAAAGTCTTTTAATTTATTCATTACAATTAGAGGTGTTGCCAAGCCTGCTTCACGAACCGTAATAGCTGGATGGATCAGAACGCTGTTAAAGGAAGCCGATATAGCAGCTACTCCAGGAAGCGTTCGATCAGCTGTAGCCTCTAAAAGTTGGCTAGAGAATCATTCTGTTGAAGATATTCTAGCTCGTGGGAATTGGCAATCTGTTAATACATTCCAACAGTTTTATCGAAGAGAAGTTATTAGGAGCGATAATTCTGATACCATTACTCGATTGTTTAATCCAATTACTTGATTTATCATGGGTTTCGTTTGGTACTGACTAATAATTAATAAAATCATTATAATTTAGTTATACTTAATTTTGTTAGCACAAGTACATGAATTATGTAATATTTATTATGTTACCTAATTATATATAAAATAAAGACGAGTTTATTTTTGCTGTAACCTACTCATTATCACATTGGCGTTTCAATTACTTATTATTCAAAGTACCTAATTATATAGAGCAAGCAGGTATGGCATTGCATATACACCCCTAGTTCCTATTTCGATAACTTAATGCTTCACAAGTCCTGAGCTTTAAGCCCACCTTGTACCTTTGTGTATTAAAATTTAATTAAACAAAGAAGTAGTGGCGTCACCAGGCAATAACAAACAGGTCTCAATGTATAAAGCTTCCAGTGACGGTCAAGTACTTTAATAGCAGCGTTTTACCTGAAATAAAACGCATATTAAAATACTTATCTCACTGGAAGCTTTAATTTTATTTTGCCTGGTGAAACATTGAGTCAATGACGATAGGAAGCACATTTTTACAAAAATAAAAATCGTGCATCCCCGCCAGGTGTCGCCACTGAGCCGGAAATTCCGGTATAATAATAATAATTTAGGACTGGCTAACGACGGAAACGGAAATGCTCTCTCAATGTATAAAGCTTCCAGTGAGGTAAGTATTTTAATATGCGTTTTATTTCAGGTAAAACGCTGCTATTTTCATTAGTATATATGTACATATTTATAATATTCATTTGTCACTAGTAAATAATATGTGTTAAAGTCATATTTAGTACTGAAATTAGTAACATTTACATGTTACTAATATTTACAATAGTATTACAGGTAATTAATATACGAGTATTTCTTGTTTGTATTTTGCCATTTCGAAGTTTATCACGATACACAATTTATAATTTCGGCAAATAATTTAATTATCGTTTTTTATTGTAGTGTAAATGTTTCTTTGTTTTATATATATATGGCTTGTTTTTGCAGTCTCAATTTTATATGTAACGCTTTTAAAAGAATGTTAAATAAATATATAATAAAACTTATTATTTCATTGCCAGATTTCTTTAGCTAATATAACACAAATATTTTTATAGACGATCACATAACACCGATATTATATATCAATTATTTTTTTTTTAATTGTAATACAAATCCGACGTAAATCTCTAATATCTATGAATTATTGCATAAATCACATTTATACGTATAGAATAATTCATATTAAAAAAATATTGCAATTATTGTGGTAAAAATTAATTGGGTATGCATATTAATAAACGAGATTCATAGCTATGCAGATGATAAAAAAAATCTTATAAATAATTTATAAATTGCACTTGAAAGTAATAAAAAAAAAAAGTATTAAATACATTAGGCAATCAACCGATCTAGCCCTAAACGTATCCTATGTAGTCTGTACAGATGTAGATCTGTGAGATTATCAACATTTAGGCTTGTCTTGTTCCGTGGGGTTCACAACATTTACACGCTCTATCACGTCTAAGGGTTGATAAATTTGTTTAAATAAATGTCTTTTTAGTTCAGAGCATTAGTTTGATATGAGTCCAATAAAAATTCAGTCGATTGTATAAAATTATTTCACTATTGGTAGCAGAGCATCTAAACAAATCTATCAACATGAATACAACATGTGCTATGCACATTAAAAACACTTATAGAATCTCTATATGTGCAAACGTAAACTACAACTAACCGACTCGATCATTAGGGATCATTTTTTCTTAACAGTGGAGTTACTGGCGCAACTACTCGACCGAGTTTGAATACCGTCTTTTTTCAAAAGACTAACGCCAAAGGCGGGGCATTTTTTTCTTAACGCCTTTATTTTGTAGAGTTTGTTACCTTGCGAGTTGTTGGTCTCCTCAAAGTTGTCCGGGGTCATGTCAGCGGTAATAACGGAGTTCGATATGCAGTCCATGGGCTCTGGACTGTTCGACTTGTCCCTTTTCCGCCTGAAGCGGAACGGTATCTCGAGGGAGTCTGCGGATATGTTGGTGACGTTGGTGTCGCTGGAAGACAGTTCCTGGGTGGCCTCGAGACCACTTTTGGGCACGTTGTTTTTGGGGAGTTTCTTGCGTGAATTGGAGTTGGATCGCACTATGAGTTTTTTACGCGGTATATTTGTGGTGCTGCCTTTGGTCTGGGTGACGCTTTTGAGATTCGGTTCTGATGGAAGTCTGTTCTTGCCGTTGAGATGACAGTTCTCCGTGAGGGCGGACAGTGTCGATGTGACGTTGCTGATTGTATTGGCTACGGAGGTATCGTTTGTGGTGATTTTGCTCACGCTTACCGTTTTTCGGGTGAAGGTTTTGAGCGGACTTGTTCCGTGCGTGTACCCCATGGCGGGACGGGCGAGATTGGCACGTTGTCCGTGGAAACTGCTTTTACCTGAGCAGTAAGATTCTTAATTATCATAATATATCAACATATAAAACTATTTAATATTTTAAAGATTTGCAATCTTGTAAAAGAGACATTTGTGTGTAGAACAAAGAATATAAATACTTATATATTTAGAATAACAAATACATGAGACGGCCCACCTAATAGAAAATGGCAACTCTCGCCTATTGACATGAACAGGACCAAGGATGCCATAGAATGCACTGTGATGCCCATGGCATTCCTAAGGACTATGGTTTATGCCTGCATACCGTATAATTCACTGCCATATCTGACCTTTAAATCAAAACACAGCTATATAAGTACAACTGCTTCACAGTAAAAACATGGGTGGATCAAAGACACCCAAGGAGACAACTTTAGTTAATATTATATTAGTTATATTAGTTAATATATTAGTTAATAAAGTTTCTTTTGTGTTTATGCAACTTAGAATGGCAAATAAGCAAAGTTCCACGTACCTGTGAATGGTTTGACACTATTCAATTTGTTGGCTTGCGAGTTGGCACTTCGTGTTGGCGGGAAGGTCGACGTCTTGGCGGCGTACGACTTCATCGTCGAGTTGACGATCCTCGGCTGCGGCTTTAGGTTGGTGTTGTTGGCGTTCCTGATGTTGTTCGTTGGCATCATGTAGTTCATTTTGGGCGTGAACACGGTCTTCGTTGGCAACATGGGAGTGGGCGTCGTCTTGTACTTCCCAATCACTGTAGTTACATTGTTCTCAGAGTCCGTTTCATTTGCGTTCAATGCATTCGCGTTGTCAAGCTGAAAGAAGTGATAATTGTTGATAATGACTGGACTTTATTATTACATCAGCCGTACACTGTCCACTGCTGAACATAGGCCTCCCCATGAGTTTTGCCTGTAGGCAATTGCTACTCTTGGCAGGCAGATTGGCAACCGCAGTTAAGCTTTGATTAAAAGTTTTAAATTTGGAAATTTTAGACGTAGACCAATTAAATTATTTATCACAAATGTTGCAGTTTGTTTTAAATATATGAGAAGCTCACCTTGCTGGGTGAACTCTTGTTGTTGTGCAGTATAGTCTGCAGCGAGACGGGCTTGTCGCGGGCCGGCGGCGGCTCGGGCGGCTCGGGCGGCAGGTCGCAGTAGATGCCGCGGGTGAACACGGGCAGCGCCGCTATGTTGTGCCGCCGCCGGTACGCCTCGCCCTCCGCGTGCATACGGGGCTGCGCGCTAAATATATAGCAATATCTATATATTACAGTTACAATATCCTATATATTATCTTATATAACAAATATTTCTTTTTATAAATTGAAGATTCCGACAGACGTCCTCGCGATTTGATGCTGGTGATAAGGCGTCTATACTATGCGTATAAAAAATGTAACTTATTGCGTATTTTTTAAACGTATAAAATATGACATTCTACCTTTAGTAAACTTAGTGTTATAAATGTAAAAGTTTGAAACATTCTGAAGCAGTATTTTATTTAAAATATATATTTAATATACTTATACAACTGTATCGTTACAATTATTAATTGTATTACTTATTCTCTATACTGTATAATGCAAATGAAATATACTCATTCATTCATTTACTAGAGATCCGCCTCAGGATCGCTCGGATAGAAAAAAAAAATAGTATTATATTAAAAGCTAATACACGCAATTTTTAAAAAAAAATTGAGTTCGAAAAATCGAGTTCAGTGTATCCATTACAAAGAAACAATGTAAGCTCTCCCTCTTTAAAATATTAGTATTGATTACATTTTATAAAAAAAAAAAACATGGGTTTAACTATCGGGTTATAATTTAAAGTGCTCACTTCTCGAGGAACCACTGCTGGTGTCCGATGACGGAGCCGGGCCTACAGATGCGCAGCCAGGCGATCGCCTCGCGCGCCGTGAACCCGTGGTGCTTCATCATGTAACACGCGATCAGTGTACCCGTCCTCCCCAAGCCCGCTGTGGGTAAAACACATGAAGTTCTTGAATATCCTGTAGTAAACATCTAATATTCAGATATAGGAGGGGGGAGGGGGGGGTTATTGTTTTAGTAATACGGACTACCAGTTCCATTGCTAGCAATATTCCAGGTTGATCTCCACATGGTCTCCCTGGAAACCATCTTGTTGGATTCCACGTGTATTCATCACGATGGGTTGACCTGCCTTTTCATTCTCAACAATCATTTCTCACTGGTGCCCCGCCAGCGTATACTTTTTTTTTTCTTATAGATATATAATCTATCTATCTATCTATTTAAGAGTTGCGCTCTTGTCGATGGAGCTCTTGCCACTCACTAAGATTTTCAGCGAGTCTTTTCACCTCTTGATACGACACGACACCAACTCCTTCCTTGATCTGCCTGATGTAACTATGTCTCGGTCTCCCTCTCCTCCTCCTTCCTTCTATCTTACCTTCTATTATAATGTTCATAAGTTCGTCGTGTCGTATCAGGTGTCCTAATATTTTCCCCCTTCTGTCCTGAATAGTTCTAATAATTTGTCTTTTTTAAGATATATAATGAATGAAAAAAATAAAAATAGGTACTAGCCCCGTGTCTCTTCACCCCGAGACTGCATTAAGGTCCCTGAACAAAATAGGAAAAGAAATTAGAATCGAAACTTGTGATTCTTATTGATTGATTAATGTTGATTAATTTTGTAATTAAATATAATTACCACCATATATATATATACACCATCATATATATATAATAAAAACCACTCAACACGAATCCAGCGCCATCTAGTATTTCTTGTTTAAGTTTCTTTAGTGACCAACCACCTTAATAGAAATACTTACCTTTACAATGTACTGCAACAGCACCTTTGGCCGTCTCTGCGATCTTTATAAACCTATTGACGATCAGATCCGACGGCACCGAGCCGTCTACGAAAAACAACTCTCGATGCTCGAAGCCATGCGATGTGAACTGTCTCGCGTCGTACGACTTCTTGTTGAGTCGCACGATCGTCGTCACGTTGTACGTGCGAAAGTATTCGTGGTAGTGCTCCGGGCTGTGGAGGGGATAGCCGCGGTCGAGTCGCGACCGGTGGTGGGGACCGGAGAACGCGAGCATTTTGCCCGGCACTATCCAATTCAGGTCGCCATTCTCGACTTTCTGTTAAAGAAGAAAAAAAATATATAAACTGCAATTCTAGTGACATAAAAAAAGGTCTAGACATAAATATTGCCTAAAACGACATTCAAATAGAATTTGTGACCCCGGCACAGAACAGGCCACCTTTTCCCTTTCCGTGGGCGTTTTAAGAGGCCACTAAAGGAATTTAATAGTGGAAATCCTTCCACCATTAAATTGCCAAATCGGGTAGTAGCGTCTCTATTAAAACACCAATTGCGGTTGCTAAATCAATCAATATCCAGACGAACTCAATTAGATATTGGAGTACTGATATTAAACATGCTTAGTACTAACCTCATAATGTAAATACTGCTCGGCATCAAAGTGTTCGAAGTCGAAGAAGCCTGCGTCGTGCGCCACTTTCACGCCATGTAGGACATCCAACAATGAGATGTCGAAGAGGGGAGGCCCCCCAGAGGCGTCTCTGAACGTCAGGAGGGACCACACGGAGCCGTCCGTGAGTTGCTTGTAAACTGCTGCTGCACTCCCATTCAGGTATATTATCTGTGGAAATATTTTTATTTTATAAATAAAAGGAAAACGAGCTATTAGCTCATCTGATAAGTGATTATTTTCCTTGACCTTCGAAAAAAGTATAAAGATATATAATTGTCAATCGTATTTTAGAGTTTAATATTACAATATCGGCTGTTAACTATACAGTGCTGAACTTAGGCTTTCCTCTATTGAGGCGGTTTGCCAGTAGTTGTCACGCTTGGTAGACGAATTGGCAACTGCAGTTTATTTTTTATGGATGATAATGACATCGTAACCCCGCCTGCGCTATCGGTATACACTGGTGAGGCACCAGTGAGAGATGATAGAGGAAAAATGGGTCAGTTGGTCCGTTGTGACGAATTCAACAGCATTTAATTACAATGGTTTTCAGGGGGGACCACGTGGAGGCCAACCTGATAGGATATATTACTAGCAATAGAACTGGTAGCCCGCATTGCTTATAATCCCTTCCCTCGCTGGCAACCGCAGTTAGGCTTTAGTAATCTTGAAAGAGGGACGCCTGCTGCCCATCCCTAGACTATTAAGTTCCCTTGGTTTATTTTTACGACAACCACTGAAAAATAAGGGGTGGCCCATTCTATGCCGGGACCACACTTAAAATACATAATATTTACATAAAAATAAGCGATGATTCTGACTTTTATGTAGGTAAAAACGTTATATATAGATATTTTAACATTATTACATAATAAACTAAATATAGACTAAGAAACAAAACTTTCTTATTTCACGAAAAAGGATGGAGCACAGTGGGTGGCGGACATAAAGGCACGGTCACACGGCGCGCAACGAGTGGGAGGCTAAACGATCCCGCGGTCCAATTAACTGGCTTGAAACAACACGAATTAAACTTATTTATAATTTCTTAATGTACTACTGTAATTCATTGTTACTGCCTTTTATATTTAAGGAATACAAGGGATTGTTAGCTATTTAACGTCCGCCTTTTATTCGATTTGGCTGAGCCGAGGGGAAAGGGATTCATTTATTTATTTATTTATTTAAGAAGGTTCACCTACAACTTTTACATTTTACATGCTACTTAATCAATAACACAAAAAATAATTTTGCCTAATGCAAAAGTCTTTTACAGGCGAACACCATATGCACTATTATAATATTTAATAATTATTAACAATGACAATAACAATATCTGAATAATAAATAGATAAAGAACTTATGTCTAAGATTTTCCTCAATAAGTTATATCTGCTGTAGATGGATCCAAAATTGATGTCAATTTGATCGCTGTGAGCATTCAGAATCCTACATAATCTGGGTACAGGCGAGTTGGTTCCTAACACTGTTTTTTTTTAACGGAGGACATAAAGGTGTTATCTGTTTTCGAGGTATTCTAGAGGGAACACGAAAGTTAAACAATTGAAGCATTTGTGGACAATCTATTATATGCGTCAGTATTTTAAAACTAAAAGAAACGTCAATAAAATCTCTGCGTTTGTTTTAGCTTGTCAGGATTGTTAGTAATAGGGTCTAATTGTCCCATTGCTAGCAATATATCCTATCAGATCGATCTTTACGTGGTTCCCCTTGGAAACTATCGTGATTAATAAATGTTGAATTCGTCACGGTGGGATAACTAACCTATTTCTCCTCATCTATGATCCTTCACTGGTGAACCGCTAGTATACCGATAGCACAGGCGGAGTCACTATTTCATGTTCACCCATAAAAAAATCCAGTTGGGCCTAAATTAGAAAATTCTTAGCATCTACGTAGTCTTATCAAATAAGAATAATAAAATAATCTAAAGCGAATTTTTTTTTATACCACTGAGATGGCAAACAAGCATACGGCCCACCTGATGGTAAGTGGTTACCGTAGCCTATGAACGCCTGCAATACCAGAGGTATTACGCGTGCGTTGCCGACCCTGAAGAAACCTTTTTACCCCTCTTAGAGCATTAGTTCGTAAATACGTAAATTTAATTTATGTGTAGTATCTTTAAGAAAATAAATAAAAAAAAAGTTGTCTTTAAAAATACTTGCACAGTTTTAAATTTAAGTAATTTCTTTTCGTAAACTGACCTTGACGTTCTAACTAAAACTACTGACTAAGGGAACTTAATAGACAAGGGATGGGCTACAACATCCCTCTTAAAATATCACCAAAGCCTATATGCGGTTGTCAACCTGCCTGTCAAGCTTAACAACTATTGGCAAACCCCCCTTTTTGAGAGAAGCCTATGTTCAGCAGTAGAAAATTAACAGTTGATATGAATGAATGAAAAATATAAATACATAGATAATATAAATATATATTTTTTTTATCCAAAATACTACATGTGTGCATATCTGTAACACACACACACTGTGACGTAAATCTTTCTAATATAATAAAATGGAAACTAGACAATGTCTGTAAATGGGAGAAAGTTAATAAAAATGAACATTAAGAGTCTTAATAAGAACAATACATGCCAAAATAATATTTTTTAGAAATTGTGTCTGTCTGTATGTTTGTTTCGGCTTCACGCAAAAACTACTGCTTCAAAATGAATACGGTTTTCGCAGTTGTATTCCTCAAGGTATCTAACTTCAAAAATGGTATATGTCTATCTTGATGCTACATCTGGAAATGATTTATATCATTAGTTTTCCTACTTCTGAAGTACACGTGTACTAAGAAGCGGAAAAAACTTAGTACCTAATAAAACATTATAATATATATATATATATATATATATATATATATATATATATATATATAGCATTGTATAGGTCAAAATACAATTTAGTACGTAATAGAGAGGGCCATCAATAAAATTATGCATACCGGCAAAGTGAACGACCTGAGAATAGCGTAAAATTTTCGCGATCAAGTCCAAGTAAAAAGCTAGCGAATAACAAACACAATCCACAAAAACAAAAACAACAGCGTCTCAGTGAGAGCACGAAACATGTTTTCTTGTGAAATTTATCAAAGTATATAATTTGAGTTGTGCATTGTTCTGTTCTGAACTTTCTTTATCATTATGTGTTCACGTGAGTACCGAACTGCTGTACGGCTTACGATATATATATATATATATATATATATATATATATATATATATATATATATATATATATATATATATATATATATATATATATATATATAGTTATATTGAAAAATAAAAACGATACAAAATTAAATTGTAAAAAAAATGATAAAACCAATATTAAATAATGAACTGCGTACATGTTTACATCTATTCTCTAACTTTTTAATAGTTCGTCGAATCATTATCGTCTTCATTAACGAATTGGCCATACAAATACAGTGACGATAGCATCGATTAAGGTCAAACGGCAGCAAAATCAATTTAACGTTGCAAGGACGATGTGGCTTATGGGTAAACATCGAAGAATTTTTACAGGTACTTACTTTTTTTAGGAATTGGCGATACTTAATACGATTTTGTGGGTAGAAAGGGATTATTAGTAATGGAAGTCTAAAAGTCCTATTGCTATCAATAGACCCAATCAGGTCGATCTCCACGCGGTTCCCCTTGGAAATTAGTTCTTCTTGTATTTGCCACAATGAGCTAATTAACCTACTTTCATCCTCATCGATCATCTCCCACTGGTGACCCGCCAGCGTGTACCGATAACGCAGGCGGGGTTAACATTCCATTTTCACCCATTAAAAAAATAAGAATTTGTAGGTATTATATTAACTATTTTAAATACACTATCGGGACTTAACGCGATAAAATATTTTTTATTTGCAGGTATTTAAAATATGTGTAAACAATGTAAAAATTTAAAATTAATTATTATATTAACTAGTTTAAAAATTTTACAAAAATAATATAGGGAGGGCCAATACGGATGTAGAGATCAACAATAGATAGATAGATATTTAAATACTATTAATATTATAAATGCTTAAGAATGCGTCAGGGGTGTTCTTCTCTAGAAATCTGTCCGATTTTAGAATAAGGGCATACGGGTATGCGACCCCGGCCTCCCGAGCCGCTGCAGTGTCCCAGTCCTTTCCGCAAATGCAGTGTTCTCCCCCCCTTTCCTTTTCCACATAAGTCCCTTATTCCCCTCCTTCACTCATTTCCTTTACACATTCCCAACGTTCCCTTCCTTTTTTCCTCAATCCTTTCCTTTATACCGTAGGTGGCGGAAACCACCAACTAGAGATGGGCAATCCACCTGGGTGGGTTTAAAGTCTGGTGGGTAAAAACCGGGTGTTTTGGGTTTATTGGGTTTAAACCCCATAAACACCCAAATTTTTGGGTGTTTATGATTTTGTACTTCATCATCGTCATCTCAGCCGCAAGACGTCCACTATACTGGACATAGACAATATTATTATGCAGCCTACAGAATAAAAAACTTTTAATTTGATTTTGAGTTTATTAAGAAAGAGATGAAAGTAAAATGTAAAACTACAGTCAATCACTGTCAGATTCAGAGTTATTACAAGCGATGAATTGTATAGGTTCGATAGGCTCTATTTCGTCTAAACTGTTATGTTCATTTACTTGCTCAATGAAAGCTTCTAAGGTATTTTCTTCATTAAACTGAATGTCCTCGCATTCAGCTTTATGTTTAAGATTCCAGTTATAACAAATGAATGAAATTTTTTAAGTTCTTTCAGTTGTAAGTCGATTTCTTTTGTTATTATGTATGTAGCCTTGGATACTAAAGGAACGCTCAGTGGCTGCCGAAGTACAGGGAGCTGATAGAATACGAATCGCTACTTTGCTTAACTCAGTGGAACCACAAATACCTTTCCACCATATTAGGGGCTCAATGCTATCTAATGAGCTCCATACAAATCCTCTGGCCCAAAAGTTTTCTTTAGCTTTATAACACGCCAAATCTGCCATTACATTTGACAAACTTAAGTGTTGGCTTAAATTGTAGATAAACTCCATACCCTTAAGTTCTTCCTCTTGAGTAAGTTCGACTCCTAGAGTCCTGGGGTCTAGAATATATGCTGCAAAATGTATTGGCCTCATTGCCATA